CCCCCCCCCCCCCCCGCGTCACACAGACCATGTCAGTCACTACATAAAGGCTTGGATTACAAGCATAGATGGCTCCAGCCAGCTTGTTCCAGCACGCGGGCAGGTGTAGAGGTAGGACAGCTGGAATCCCCTTGGCACCAAACTAAAGCAGAATCTTCATCAAAGTTCTGTTATTTGAAGCGTTTTTGAGAGTTCAGTGTGAACCCTGTGAGGTCACACAGAAAGCAGTGTTGGAGCTTTGCCTTTAGAAACAGGCGAGCAGGGAATTCTGTCGCATTGTGTGCACCCTTATTTTTTTTCCTGATTCATTCACATTTATTCCCCCACACACCTCTCCATCTTCACTCCTGTTGTATTCTTATTTTTCTCTTACCCCCTTTGCCTCCCACCCTCTGTCACGTCCGCCTCACTGTGCCGTACTAGTTAACAGCCCTGGCAAGAGAGGGATGTGGGATCCAGCCTGGATCTTGAGGGGGGGCCCCAGCTGCCCAATCACAACCTGATTTATCAACCTCCTCCAGCTAGCCTGCATAGATATCATACTTTACTCGCTTGCTTTGGTTGTTACTTACAGCAGATGAGGCAGGGTGTTTGTTTTTCTAGCCGTGCCTCCTTAGGATGTGTCTGCCAAAATGAAATGCTCTCCCAGTAAAGTATCTAGCATTTTCTCCAGGAGCTGAATCCTGTCCATACATCAATCCAGCTGCCTCCCCACCAGCATATATTTTACCGACATGAGGAATGAGAGGCACACCGGGGATCCCAGCTGATGTTTGTTTAAGAAATCTTCACACAAAAGATGAAGCCTTTTGTTTTGCTGCTCATCTTCCTCAGATTCAACACATTTTCTCCTTTTACATCCCAACAGCACTTTTTCCATGAAATTTCTCATGTTTCTCACGTCTCCTCTCTGTTCGCACTCCATGTCCAGTTCCAGATGGCCACCAGATATTCACAGATGGAAGAAAACATTTGCTAATTTTAGTAAAGTTCATACTGTTTTTTTTTCCTGTCCTATTTCCCCGAGTTTCCCTCTCTCACTCTCAGTTTCTACCTATCTTTGCCTCTAGTCCAGTACCAGATGGAGATGATGCGTTCTCTGCGTCACGTCAACATCGACCATCTGCATGTGGGCTGGTACCAGTCCACCTATTACGGCTCCTTTGTCAGCCGAGCTCTGCTAGACTCCCAGTTCAGCTACCAACACGCCATCGAAGAGTCAGTCGTGCTCATCTATGGTAAGTAGTCCCCCACTGTCGACTGTTTCAATCACATTCCAAATCAAATAGACCGGGAGTGAATCCATTTAGTTTGGCTGGGTCTTAAGAACAACAGTCAATTTGAAATGATCAACACACCTAAAGCACTAAGCAATCTTTTATCCTCAGCCATCATTAAATGTAATGCTGCTTCAAAAGTAAATTAAGATATTATGTACATTAGGCAAAGGGCCAAATGTTAATGTGACTTGTCATTTTCAATGAATAACATACCCACAAAGAGCACAAAACTTTTATTTTGAAGAAATTTGAAGAATTGGATTGTGAAATCAGTCCATTTACAATGGATGGCACATTATGTATATATTACAGTTCAAAGCATTCAAAGATGGCATGTATCATTTAAATGGCCCCAAAGATATGTTTTCCAAACATTTTAACTCGAGAAGAAATCATTTTCATGTTTGCTTGAGACGAAGCTGTTCTGGCCGACCGAGACTTCACATGATAACATTTCAGTCTGATAAATAACATAACACACTCCTGTAATAATGGCGTGTATACAGCATATATAAACACGCTTCATTAGTTTTATTACGGGGATGAACCACAGCTTCGGTCTCCTCTGATTTACAGCCTGCAAAAGGAAGCAGGAGAAATAATCGCCATCGTTATTTTCATGATGATTAACCTGCAGGTTGTCAACTTCAACAGAGCTGAGCAAATCGAACACGATGCAACAAGAGAGCTAATCAATTAATTTCCAAAGGCAACATTATAGCTAACTGCGCATCCATCTGCTACGTTTATATTTTGAAGCATGTCCAATGCACATTTTCTAAGATCTATAATCTTATTTCATGTTGCTTTAAGATTATATTTAGGGGAAAAACAGAAATTGGACAGCAGCTGTTTATGTTTAAGTGCCAGTCCATTTAGATATATTTGTTTTCCCTAATAGAAATTGTTTTGTTGAATAGGTTAGCAGTTAAAACATGACCACTGGTGACAGAGGTGCACGCAGTTGTAAAGTGGTTCTCTCTCCAGGTTGCATTAGTAATAGTGATGTAAAAAAAAAAAGAAATCTAATCGCGGGCCGGGAATCGGAAAAGGGAAAGAAAAGATTGTTCAGATTCTACATTCAAGGTGATAATTTGTTCCTCACATGACACTAAAATGGTGCTGCCACAAAAGAGTTGATTACAGTGATTTAGAGTTCATTGTTGTGTTTGGCAGGATTAAAGAACTTCAAGTCAAATTTAGTCTCCTTTTTTTATCAATAGCTGTGCAAGAATAGGGCTGTCACAGAGGGACTAAGATATTCCACTTCACTCCCCCTGTGAAGCAATCAGCCTGACAAAAAAACCATCTGAACGGTTAGTTAAATGCTCATTTTCAGACAAGCTTACATTTTGGGGGGGGAAATCCCCACAGACTTTATAAGGAAGGATTCCGTTTTAGTAGAGATCTTATGATTTTTTTGTAGACATTTTTCATAATATAGCTTCCAGATTTAGAAGCTCAACCCTCCGATTCAGGTGAGCTTCTGGAGCTGTTTGCAATATTTTAGAGGCTCGCCCCATCAAAAGCAGAAATGGGTGACAAGCCGAACAGAGCGGACAGCACCCTGCGCAGACTCCTGACCTTCTATTCATTTCACATGACATGAGAAAGGCTCGACGTCATGTCTTTGTGCCACGCTGGTGGTGAGAATTAACAGACTCTCGCACGGAGGAATCTCCGGATGAAGATTCAGGAAGCAGGGATGCATGAACAGAATTAGAAGAGGGACTTGTAGCCACCTCCATGACACAAAGTGGATGAAACGAGCTTGTGAGTGCTGCTGAGCAAAGAGCTCTGGGCTGCTCATTACTACCAGCGCATAATTAAACTATTTAAAGCCAGCTGCAGTGAAATTAACACAACCGAAAACGACCCAATATTTGTTTTAAGTCATCTGAGAATTCATCAGAGACGACACACAGCTACACCCAGTGAAGGAGTGCAGGATCCGAAGCCGTGAGACGGATGGCTGCTTAATAAGGTTGATGTCAGTGTTTTTCTGGGAGAACACTGCTGTTTTGTTAATATTTCTGATGAGACAATGAGCTCTGTTCATCAGGCTTTTCAAGCTGGAGACATGTAATTAAATTTTGACTCCACCAAAATGCCAGATGCTATCGAGACTGTATTTCCTGAATTAAACTTTTTAAAATGCGCTCAAGTTTACTCCCATCTGCTTTATGAATGGGGAGAATAAGATTAGAGGTGTGGTGACACAAAAGACTCACAAGCTCACTGACCTGAAATCTTTAATTAAAACAGCTCTCTTTAATCGTCTCTTCAAGGAAAGAAAGAGACAACAAACACAGCTCCCATTCAAGATAAAGGCAGGGCTCTGAGTTTCATTACATTACAAAGGAACTATGTGTGCCCATTTTATACCCAATAACTTCTGAAGAGAGCAAACAAATGAAAACTTTTCTGCCCCTCTGGTTTTGGAGTGTGAGCCAGCCGGCTGCCCGCGCAGCCTTCCCTCACTCTAAACAAGAGCTCCTGTTAATGTCAATCAATAATGCAGCACTTAACAGATCAAAGGACCCTGAAGGAATTTACATTATCTCCGTTTAAAGTCAAAGTGGAAGAAAAAAAAAATTGATTTTATTTCTTTATTTTTTTTTGTGGTTCTCTCCATCAGCTCGCTGGCCATTTCATTCCGATAAAAGAATCAATCGGCTGAGCCACCGCTGGGTGAGCGGTCTTTGTCCAGTAACGACTTGGAATTACAGAGGCTTGTTAAACCAATTGGTTAAATGCGCTCGGCACGACGGTAGTTCCCATACAGGAGGTGAAGGGTTGAAAAAGGTTAGACGGAGCCTGCTGGAGCTTTTTAATCGGGGCGTGTGGTATTAGTTAAGCCATGATCCTCATTAGCAGCAAGCTTTTAATATTTTTTCTTTAAACGCCTGGAGTTTAATTTTCATTTTGTAGGATGAAATGCTGAACACTGCATCTTTTTCGTTACTTGTACTGAATAAGAGCACGTGAAGATTAAATTAGGTTTTCCCCCATATTTTTGGGGGGATTTGTGAAAATTTGGATGGCACCTTTAACGTGTCCCTCGAGTATCTTTCTTCTAATGACTCAATCGTGGTGTTCACAGAAGGAGCCCAGGCTGACTCGTGTTACACGTAAGATGATGGGTGTTTGCCACATAGTGGAGACCGTTGACAGGAGGCAGGATTAAGGCATTCTGCCCAAATTCAAGCGGCTAGATCTGAACTTCTCAGAATTTTAATTCTATTCTAATTGGGGCGGCGTGCATCCTTTGGGTTTAGGAGAGCTCTCCTCATGCCGGCTTCCTCCAGCCTTATTGAAGGTGAACTGTGACTGGCTGTTGACTGTCAGTCTTGTCTAGGAGAGGCTAATCTGTAGGCAAATGGCTTGTCAGAGCTGCCCGCTGGGAAGGGAATGTGGGAATATGTGACACTAAACTTTCAGGCAGACTCTTTATTTGTTTGCTGTCACTTTTCCGTTCGAGTAAACTTTTCTGTTCTACAATTAAATGTTATTCATCAAGTGTTTTTTTGTTTTTTTTTTGGATTATATTGGATCCACACATAGTTTCTTTTTTGCGAAATCACTGTTATGTTGCAATTTGGATGTCTAGCATAATTTTGAGCTGCATTAGTGGGCTTAATGCAGACGCAAAGTAACCCAGGAGTTATATACAAATGATGCTCTTGTGCTGCCACATGCAGCAGTTAGAGAAATATGAGAGCATTATCAGCAGCTGAGGGGAAAATGTACAAATCGCACTTACAGAGTGGAATCGATGGTACTGGAAATGACTTTGGCCAGGCATGTTTTTACAAAGCTTAATATGAACAAGACATCCCACTGAAAACCCAGCCTCTTTTAGGATGTGAAGACTGTAATCCTTTTTTTTTTTTTTTACTCTACTATTTCTCTGCTTCCAGACCCCATCAAGACGGCTCAGGGCTCCCTGTCTCTCAAAGCCTACAGACTTACGCCAAAACTCATGGAGATCTGCAAAGAGAAAGATTTCACTCCAGAGGGGTGAGTAGTTTTGTAAGAAACTAAAGAGAATATTATATTTCCTTGGGTAAGATTTTTGGAGCTTTGTGGTTCAGAGTTTTTTCCAATGTTGCCAATCACGGGTGCCTCAAATTTGAAGACTTTATGGAGGATATGCGCTCTCACAGCTAGGAATGTGTGTATGTGTGTGTGTGTGTGTGGGGGGGGGGGGTATTTAGACCACATGGAAGGCAGGGCATGATGAAGAAATAATGCAGTGGAAATCACTTTGTCTCCTTTACAAAACAGGAAAATAGCAGACACGGCCTATATATATATATGAGTATCAACACCATACGTATCTAAACAGCATCCACAGCAGCTAATGGAATGCCACACACAGGTCAGCAGAAAGGAGAGCAGAGGCAGTTACTCTTCCAAGCACGTGGCCCGTGCATCGGCAGTAAATCCTCTGAAATATCTGTCATTACGTCTGCGCGTTCTCACCCGCTGATCCTCGGGAGATTTTAGCCGGGGAATGGGAGGAAAATCCCAGCGAGCAGTCCGGAGTGAAAGCAAGGCTCAAAATTGCTTTCATATGCAATCAAAAAAAAAAAAATCGGCGGAGGGGAGACTTGCTTTCATCCTCGGTTGCACTGGTGCAGCTAACATTTAATGGGTCTGTTATTACGCACAGACATTTGATATGTCTCTGCGCGCATACATTTCCCCCACAAATTCCCAGCCACCGAAGAATATCGGGGTCAGGATTTAATGAAAGGCAGGGAAGGCATGGGCCTTCACATCTAACTGGCTCTTCCCTGGAGATTCTCCCAGACTGACGTGTTTACTTTGGAGACTACTCTCCAAGCGGAGCCGTCCTCCGAGTGCTGTCTGTTACACAGATCTGCAGGCCCGGCTCTGAAGGCTCTAACTTAGAGATCTCACATCAGCAACAGAGGTAGCTGTTAAATTATCCATCACCCGAGATGACACACAGCGACTGTGTGTGAGCACCGGTGGCTTTTATGAGACCCGAAGCCCGAGCAAAGCGAGCATTCAAATAAAAAAAAAAAAACGCGTGCATCTGTTCTGGGAAATCTGGTTAGCCTGGTTCCTAGCAGGTTAGGTTAGATGATAAAATGTCAAATGCGTGCTGCAGTGCTTTTGTTATAGAGCGTGTGGACAAAGCTTCAACCGTGCTTTTGTTCTTTGTGCGCCATGCAACATTCAGGGCCGAAACCCTAAGAAAGACACAGTCTGTTATTTGACCAACAAAAGCGTCTCCTTGCAGCATTTCAGCGTCAGGCTCCAGTAAAATGATGCAGTAAAGGGTCAGGGAAGAGCCTCGGCGTGACTTGGAATGTAACTGAGGATGCTGAAAGCTTGCGAATATAGACCAATGTTTCTGCTGAGAATATAGGTCCCTGAGATAATAAATCATGAAGCAAAGAAAAAGGTGCTTTAACAGCAATCTGAAGAGCATGTTTTCTGTCCATTAAAGTGCAGCACAAACAACAAGTCTGATGTTAAGTTGTTTTTGTGTCGCTACAGACACAGCTTTTTAAGAAAACACGAAAACTCCTCAGACCCTGAATGTGCACTAAGCAGTTATTGCTGGTCGTGAAAATGATACGAGTTAAATGGGCCTACTTATAAATGTCTTTTTTGTTTTTTCAAGTAAAGTTTTAGCTTTGGAAAGCACTTTTAGCACAGCTCTCTTCAAGGTTTTGAATATTAGAGATAATAAAAACAGTAGTCTTAAAATGATAACAGAGCTCCTAAATGTTGTAGCAGAGATGATGATAATAAAAATGTAAAAAATCACCATTGGAGAACTAATAAAAGGAAAAAGGGGGCCTGGAGTCCTGGAATGCTGCTAACATTAACACATGCCACCTCTTCAGAGCGTTTGAGGGCCAAGCTATGTATGAAAGAGAGAGATACTTCCACTGCTCCTCTCTTGATTAACCACCCGGAAAGCGAAAATACAGTAATTTGCATCCATGCCTAACCACAAGAGCTTACATTGCTCATCATTTAGATATCAAATGTAAATTCTAGCCTTTTTTAAAGTCTCTTAATTCTGTTTATTCGCTGGTTTCAAATACAGCCTGGTGCATCCACAGGGGAAAGATTTACTGGCAGTTGGAGATGGATGCTGATGATGATGATTTATCAGCCCAGCCTTGCCTGTCAAACAAATGGACCATGTTTACTCTTTTTCTGACCCTAAGGCTTATCGTAATTGCTTTTAAATTGCGGTTAAAAATGAATGTAATGAGGGGACTATTTTCCATGCAGTTCTGGCACATCCAGTCATCCATATGCACGAGGACGCAGCACGCATGCTCGGACAACGCCAAGCATATGGGTCCAATACAGAAATCCCAAAGACATTCAGTTACAACCCAACCAGAACCCTCAAATATAATTTTAAACGCCCGCAAAGTGCACTAGCAGGAGGACGGCAATTTAAAAGCAGTATTTTATCCCCCTTTTACAGTTTCCTCTATATTTTTCCACCTGTGAGTCTCTCTGCCAACCAGTCTATTATTGACCCATTGTGTTTGGCCCAGAGTCAGATCTCTCTCATTTCCACAGCTTTTCATTAGTTCCTATGATTTATTTTGGCTCCAATCTGTCACCATCAGTGTTCCCAACAAGCCCGTAATTGAAATAGGGCAGCTCAGGGCAGGCAAAGGACAATCTCAACGCTTTACAGCAATCTTATATTATTAGCCAGTCGACAAGAAACCCAATTATCAGTGCTTTTGTTTGTTTGTTCCAAAACTTCAAAAGTCTTTCATTTTGCCCAGCACAGTCTGTGGCAAATGTACAACTGTATTTGATGTTGTATAAGCTTGCATATTTTACTCACCCTTTTTTAAAATGAAAGGCAGGGATAGATGAGCAGACACATCCCTTTGAACTGCCCTCCAACTCCATCAGTCTATGCAGGCGATGGTCAATAGCCTCCACTTCAGCACACAATATGAAGCCTCAAATTAGTCTGCCTGTGGGGTCAGCCTTTGGCTTTGTCCTGCAGGGCCCAACTTTGTGAGAGCGTGGCATTAAGTGCACACAAGTCCAGTATAGATGTGTAATTTGCTCTCCCTATGGAAGAATCAGACACTCTGTTCCCTCATGGAGACCATTTTATATGGCACTGCAGGCATTTGAAAAGGTCACAGTATGCAGTAAGTACTTTTAAAGCACTCCAGATTGATTATTTGTGTCAAAATCCTAACAAACAGTATTTATATTATGGCGCTTCCCCTATGGGTTCCTGTAAAGAATCCATACTGATTCATGTCTGCCTTTCTCAGGCTCTGAGCCTGAAGCAATGCTGCCCACTTCATGCCTCAGACTCTCATCTTTAAGTTTGCCTGAGGTGATGTTTCACTGAGAATACAAAACGGCATTTATCTGAAATAGCTCACCAGAATCAAATGATGCTCCACATCCCTATTTATCACACAGGAAAGCAATTGGTAAACATCTCTGTTTCTGGTACAGTGAGCAGGGGATAATAATGCAGTCAGTGTATTGATCCCAGAACAAGTATCTAACAAGCCAACCTTGGACATATACAGGCATTAGTTTGTAGCTCATGCTCTTGTGCACAAGTGACGGGCTGGACCAAGGCAGTCAGTCAGTGTTATTAGATTTATGTGAGACATTAAGAAAAGTTAGATGTTCCATTTTGTGTGAACCGGCCGATGCCAGAAAGAGGGAGAGGGGCAGGATTGTAGCCCTAGAGGAGAAAAAGGAGGTGAGGAGAAAAAATGAGGTAACATCTCAACAAAGACACAAAGTCAAACAGGCGACAGCGGAAGATAATGCATGTGGGAGGCAGTCAGGGAGGTTGATGCTATCTCACCATTTCTCAGAATCAAAATGCAATAAGACCATTCCTTTTGCTACAGCTTTGAACAGCTGAATGGAAATGAGCTGCAGTGGTACAACTGCCAAGTCCAACCCCCACTCACTTTTTCCTCTTGGCCTTGTTTTTTAATTGTTCAAGATGTATTTTGGGCACTGATTTGTTTCAATGGGTTGCCATGCAAGTCGTCCCCTTAAAACCTCGCTAATCCTTAGAAGTGTTTTCAGTGTGACGTCAAATGAAGCAAGACTGTGAAGTTGTTATTTCCTTTCCTTCTTTTTTAACTGAGGGCCTTTTCAAAGGGTAAAATATGCTATCATGTAAATGAATGAGAAAGATGTAATTAAATCAATAGAAGCCATATGCTTAAAGAGAGTGTAGATATTTTCTTCATATAGGCCTAATTCATGTAATCATCTTTAATCACTTTAAATCTGTCCTGACTGGAATGAACTGCAATATGAGCCAGAGTGATTTATGCACATATTCAGCAGAAAGCCCCCCTGCTGTGCTGCGCGTGTCTGAACGGCAACTGCGGAAGACTAGTCCAGACAAAACTGTCAGCACCTCATTATGAAAACTCTGATGTCCGTGTTTTAAACCTGCGAATAAAACTCAGCGTGTCAGACGCCTCCAACCAAAGGATTTCACCTCATGTCCCCTCTGTCCTGTGCTCTCCACCCGTCTCCAGCTTAAAGAAGGCGAGCATTGGCTTCGAGAATATGTTCGAAGAGGTGCCTATTATCATCAAGAACTCCCATCTCATCAGCGTGCTGATGTGGGAGTTGGAAGACAAATCCACCGTCGCCGACAAGCACGAACTACTCAACCTCTCCAGCAGGTAAGATATACAGTAGGCTCATCAAGCCTTTTACCATCTGGGCCCTCTGCCACCGTGATATGTTTGCAGCTTCCGTGTTAATAATTGAGTGACTTAAGACAGTTATTGATACAAAACGTTCTCAGTTATCTCAAATGCACCACTTTGGATGAAGAACTTTAACTAAATACCAGCAGTAGTATCATGTGTTTGTTGGTCTGTTACCGACAACTAGCAGTTCCAACATGTTCCATGAGTCAGACTGACAAAAAGCCTGACCAGAGCCTCTCATTTTTTCATTTGAAAATAGTTTATGGCAGTGGAATGCATGCATTTGGTTAAAAGCAGCTCCCGTGTTGTGACAAAATATCACGGAACCTCTTTAGCTTACAGGCTGATTCCACAGACATGACTTAAAGCTGCTTCCAAATTAAAATTGATTTGGCATTTAGGGCACTGTTGGGCATTTATCCGTGTCTTCTCTACTGTTTAGAAAAGACAGTGAGCTGTCTAATGATGTACTGTGTCATATGCTTTACCCTAACAACCCCCCCTGCCTGACAAGAGTCACACATGGCTTCAAGGCCGCTCTTCTCCGAGAAGCTCTTTTAATTATTATTGTCACAAATGCCTCATAAAAGACCAAATAAAGCCATAAAGTTAGAGAGCGGCAGTCGTTTGCACAGCCACAAAGCTCACCCATCTTTGTCCCGAACAAATGAGAGCTCCATTGCTGAATTGGATGACACGTTCCCTCGATACAATGCATTGATAAACACAGCCTGGTAGTTTTTTTAAACAATGGCACACACTAATGACCGCAGCTTCATTTCCGTATGCTTTCGGTAACCACTAATGACTCACTTTAGAATGCAGGTCAGACTAAGATCGGTTTTTACATGAGTTAATATGCAGCTGTCAGTATGCATGAGGACGGGGTCAGACTGTCACATAAACAACAGGATCAATTGTGCTGTTAATGGCGCTTTCTGTCACCTATTGGAGCCGGGCGGCGCCTCTTTCCTGTGCCTTTTTAAAAACTTTTAGAGGACAGTGAGTTTCTTTTTGGCTTGCATTATGAAGATGTCATATAATACTGATAATAAAAGATAAAAAGAAGTCTAACACAAATATTTCCCCCGAAATGATCTGCTCACTAGTACCCGATGCACCCTGATACACCTTCACTTCGTTTCATAATGAATTCCAGTTGGGAAAGTATTCGCCGATCCACACAATGCCGCACCTCTGAGTAGCAGGCGTTGGTCGTTTGGGAGGGATAAGGAGTCCCCATGTTACAGCAACATGGCCAAATTCTCGTTGTTTCTCGTGTTTGACCACTTGTACCTGTGGGCGGGGAGACTTATTTGACAGGGACGCTCGGCGCTGAATTCGGTACCGCAAATGTCACATCGAAATGTCAAATCGTGTTGGTTCAGAAATGTTTTTAGGGAGCGGGGGAGGGAGGGCATGCCATCTAACTTAGCCTCCCATAACTAATGAGCACAATAGGAGTAAAGATCACCCCTCCATATCATCGCACAGCTTGGCTCGCATTTATATCTCAGAGGCACTCTGCACGAGTCTCGAGAGAATTTATCAGCAATCATTTATGGAGATAAACTGCAGCAAGGGGAGCAACAGCTGTGAAGCTGCTAATCAAAAAACTTCCCTGGGGCAGGTGTGAGAAATTAGCACAATAACGACTCGAAGTGCCGAGTTCCACACCGCCGGCTCCCCGAACGCACCGCGCCCGCTCGCACACGCCTGCGACCCACGTCAGGAATTGTTCTTCTTCTCATCTGTGTCCTCTTGACACAAGTAAGCCACGGCTTGAAATGAGTCACGCAGCCCTTCCGGACGCATGGCCAGCCAAGCTGGACACCACCGGAGCAATTGGTTAATGACAACCGCCAAACAGACTCGCCTAAGTTGCGCGTCGCTCGGCTTCTGAAATGACTAGCTCTGGAGATGAAACGCTGCTTTTGATGTCTCTCGAAAACGTGGGCCGCAGCAGAACGGCGGCCGGCCTTCCCCGCAGGCCTCCTGCCGACGGGCTGTCTCCCAAGATGAAATAGTCCCCCAAAGTTGTCAGGTTTCCACGCAGCTCCGCCATCATGTCCGCGTCTCCACGCCGTCTCAGACAGCCCCACCCCGCGCTGCTCATTTCCACCCCTTCAGAAAAAGGACTAAATGATAATGGGTTTTATTTAATGTTTTTCCTTTTGTCTCATTTTCCAATTTTTGGCCCCATTTGTCAATGTCATCTGTGCGTAAGGCTGAGTGAGTGCAGTCTCACTCCGGCAAGCAGGGTTGTTCTTACCAGTGATGATGATGTTGATCGTGGTGATGGATTGCATGAATATAAATGCATCTACCCCCCCCAACCCCTGCCCTCCGTCAGAGTGAAATGCCTCTACATCTGTGCTGGCACAAACTACATTTTACATATGCATTCAAGGCTAGAAAACTTTTTCTGTGAGTTGCAACATAATTTCCAAACACATTTCTCACTGAAAGTTTCTTTAGAATTCCCAGAGTACCTCAAATAGGGGCAATTTATGATTGATAAATAATACATTTCTTAAAATGTATGATTTTACATAATTATTTCAAAATGACAACGATGCAGACAGGCCTGTAAGAAAGGTTTTGGCACCCTCCCTCTGCAGTGCATTGCAGCACCACTTTGGCAGATATCAAAGCATGTTGAAGCCAGTTTAGGATGTTGTTTCATGTTTGGCGGACGGACGCCCTTTCTCTTTGCAGAGGGGCCTGTCCCTAAAAGGTTTGGGCACCTCTTCAGGTGAGCCATTATGAATTTTAATGATGCAGGATCCTCACCCTGCTGTAGAAGCCATTATGTTTACTTTGTGATGCTTGGTTCAAGTTGGTACTGTTAAATAATTGAACCCTTTATTCCCTCTACCATTGAAATGTTCTGTGCCACTAGCTGGAGCACAGTCTATGCTTAACCCAGACCACCCACCTTTCGGTTATTGTTGCTATAAAGTTGTGCTTTAAAGGAAATCCCAAAATGTTACAAGAGTCCAGCATCCATTTGCAGCAAAACTGACCTCAATATTAGTTTGTCTCTTAGTCAATGAATGTTTGATGGTATTGTTCAGGCCCCCCTGCTGGAGTTGTTTGGAGATAGCCAAACTCTTTCCAGACCAGCTCTTGGTCTGACTCACATGTGAACTTCTCTCTCGCCTCCCACAACATTTCATCTCTAGACTTGCACCAGGGAGCCTTTCAGGTGTAAACACACATGTTTAATGGGCTGGATTTTTGGAACAGCAATATCACATTACAGCCGTTGAGCCCAATTATTAAGATTTGTCGAAACAAACCTGCCTTGGTTAGTTACATTTTTTTGGGAAACCTCTGATAGGACCAAGGTAAAGTTTCCTTCTTCTAAGAGTTCCACTTTGGGCACAGACGCCTTTCTTTGTCCTGTCGTCCTCTGCTTGACTTCAGCTCGTCCCTTTAGACTGCACTTTCCTATTCACAATGCAAAATGAAGGTAAGGGCATCATTTCGTTGCCATCTCCAGCCTTGTGTGTATCCAGTATTTTAACTTTTAGAGTGCAAAGCAGCTGCTTAGAGGAGCCCCTGGCAGCCGAATGTTGGGGCAAGGTTTCCAGAGTCAAATTATTCATAAAGCTTTAAAATTTGCATCTCCTGGCCTTTCCGGACAGCGAATGTGAACAATCCAAGACAATAACAAGCTCATTTAAGTCAGAAAGCTTTTTTTTCTATTTTGCCTTGACAGAGCATGTCTAAACCGTGTGTGGCTTCGTGCGCTACCCAATCTCCCTGCTTATGTGTATTCAGTCAGAAAAAAAGGGCTGAGGACAAAAAAATGGAGGAGGAATGAGGCACAGAGGGGTTTTGTAAGGGAGGGGGGGGGGGCTCTGTGACAGAGATGTCACTGTGGAACAAAACAGCTCCTGATGAAAACCAACTTGATCCCCAGAGATGGATTTTTAAGAATACATATTTTGAACAAATGCCCATGATGGTTCCCTCTGAGATAGTTCTGTTGCAGTTAACGCTCAAATGATCATTTGCAGAGGGGGACGGATTTACTCTTGAAATGAACATGGTCAAAAGTATTGAAACAAAGTATCGAGGCAAACTTACCAAACTCCAAATTCCATGCGTGCTTATTCAGATTCGAGATTTTAACCAAGATAATGCCATACCTTTATGCTAAGACACAGTCAGACGTAGAGGATTTCGGGTTCCATTTGAAACAAATTGCTCGGCTACAGAAGCGAGCCTGCAATCTTTTTTTTTTTCCACTCGCCCCAGTTCATCAGTTTAAAAGAGTCCATCAGAATAAAAATGCTCACTCTAAGAATAGAAGTAATTTTCTTGGCAGCTTTGTTATACATCTCCTCATTGAACCTTCAATTTACTGAATGTCAGCCAATTTCTGTTCACACATAAACACAGTTACTGGATTTGTCCCCTGTTGTCCCATGTGAGTATGAGCATGTCCTAGCGGACATGCAGGACGCTGACTCTGCTGCCAATGAAGCTGACCTTAAAACAGAATCGCTTATGACAGAAAATCCCCAGACAGACTTTGATTTCTAATACATTATTGATTGCAACGCTTGCAAATCCATCTGGTCTGAATAATTTAACCCTTAAAAATGTGTGGGCCGACACCGTGTAGTTGTGGGAAGTCTTTAAAATCACGTTTAACTCGTAACGCAGACTTAAAACATCAGAGCGTGCTGTAGCACGTACTTCACTGCATCTCCTAATCCCCATTCCGCACGAACACCACACACACACACACACACACACTAGTCTTCATATTGCTTTGATGAAATAGTAATAATTGGGCTTTCCTCAGTTCAAATCTATTCTGACACAGTCAGACGGGCACAGCAGGGAGGTGTTGTGCTGAGACTTGGTTGAAGTCCATCAGTTTCCATGTTTCCAGGGGAAACGTGACACACTGAGAGCCTCAGACAACCATGATTAGACTGCAAATAGTCGGTATTTTGCAAATGATGCTTTGGAGGCACCAAATAATGTCTACATTCTAAATAAAAATGAAACACATTTAGTAAAAAGTGAAACTAAAACGAACACATTTCAAATGCTGCCCTTTTTGTTTTAGGCTCTGCGGCACAAGGGCATCAGGCAGCCATTTAAGCAGATGATTTGATTATAAGAATTAGCACAACTTTGTGCAGGTGTGAGGTGTTCTTATGCATAACGCCGTAGATAGTTAAGGCATGTGAGAATAGCACCTCGATAAATCATCAGCCACGTTCATGTTATTACGCGCTTACCTGCGGCTTGTTGCCGCATTTCTCTCTGCGTGAGTCGATGTTTGCATTCAAATGTGATTAAGCTGTAGGAGTCAGTGGAAACTAGGGCGAGGCTGAGATGATCGCAGGGATTTTTGGAGTCGTGTGCATGTATTAAAAAGACTGAGAGAGACTTGGTTTTATTATCTTGAGTATGTGGGCTCAAACCAAACATTTACTTTTCTGTTTTTGCACGCATGTGGACTTGATGTGGAAAATCTAAATGTTGGTGGTGTATTTGAATGATTTATCTTGAAGTGACAGCACCGGTGATGCTGTAGTCTGTTCAAAGGGAGCAGTTCAACAGCTGTGCAGGGACAGAGACCCACCTCATAGTTATGTCTTTGTAAAACTTTGCCTGAAGAGGATTTGCGCAGGTGTGATGAAGACGCATTCCCAATTCACCACCTGAAATGTGACAACTGCTCCCATTTTCACAGAAACGTGCTGACTGAGCAGAAAAGGAATAAATGCAATACTGAACTGTGGGAGAGTTTTTCTGAAGTGTGGCTCGGTTTAGCGTGTTTATCACTTATTCATGGATGAACGACAGAATCCGCCATCACCTCCTGAATCTGCCTAAAAGGGTTTTCACCTCCCGTCTACCTACAACAAACTCATAACAAGCAACAAATGATAGAACCAGCAGCCAAGTTGAGGCTGTGGCCTCTTGGGTGAGTTTGATTTGACCTGGTGGTCAAGGATTTTCCCGCAGAAAAGGCCCATTAAGTGGGCTGCTCATCTGGATCTCTGGGGTGTTTTTGCATAAATGTTTACTTTTAATTGGAGCAGTGCTTTGGGTGCAACTAAGATCATTTTGCAAATGGAAAAGAATACGTATCCAGATAAGAGCGCACACTGAAAGGCGCTGGAGCATGGACAGAGAAAAATTCTTTAGCCACTTTTTATTTTGTATGCAAACCTTTTATGTTCATAATTCAAAATTCTAAATTAGATGTTGAATATTTTTTCATTTTCAGATATTTGTTTAAAAAATAAATTAAAAAAACCCCAACTCTCTTCACTATTTGAATTTACACCAATGACATTCACATTTTTAGTTTCCCACAGACCATTTTGCCTAAGAAGTTCTGCCTGACTGTGCATTTCATTGAAGGAACAGTCCTGACCCTGCCTTTCCTTCGGTGACTGTGAATAAAATGTGACTTCCAGACTAGCTCCCCATCTCTTTAAAGTGCTGGTAATTATTTCCTCTGCGTTATCTTTGAAAGCAGCTATCACTAAATGTAGCTTCTTGTTGGACACACTGGAGCCACCCTCTGTTGAATAGCCCAGCAGAACAGCCCCGTGAATACTGTCAGACTCCTTCCCTGTCCCAACTCTCTCCTGGGTGGTAAGATATCGGCCAAAATCCGAGCATCAGCAGTGGTTTGATCAGGTGATGTTGCATTTGTAAAGCTCAGTGACTGCTGATTGTTTCACCTTCCAAAGTGACTTTGTCACTCACTGTGCTGTATGACTTTAGAAAAGGGCAGAGATAGAGATGATTAGGCATTAAGTTGCAATGCAAAGTAGTTTATGGTTGCAGAGACTAAAAGAGCTTTACATTTACATTTACCTTTATGCATTTAGCAGATGCTTTTATCCAAATGGACTTACAAAAAGAGGGTTAAACATTCAACTACCAGATGCTACGACGTCCCCATTTTAATGGTGAAGTTACTTAGCATTCTGTCAGTGTAAGTGAATGTCCACGCTGTCAATAGATGCCTCTACCTTTGTTTTTTGAGGCCATAATGCCCAGTCCTGATACAAATGTGAAAAATGAGAGCATTTATTTCCACAGAGGAAAGCGTCACATATGTTTCTTACTGTTGAACACTGCAGTCTCGTCAAGGTTAAAGTAGGAATGAGTCTTATTGTCTGAAAATGAAGCTCAGTGTAGGAGAGAAAAGAAGTGCTGATAGTCTAATAACACAAATCTGAACACCCTCTGATGTCAGACTAACAGGGCGAAGTGACATCCCTGTCATTCATTGCAACAATTGTAACAAATCCCTGTCCAACAGGAGGCGACTCTTCATTGTTAGCACGGCTTGGTACTCCTTTTAGCTCTTTTCCACCCATGTGCTGACAGTTCTTTAAAAGCTGCGTATCTACAGGCTGTAGGCTGCAGGCCTGCAGTGCGTCTGCGACGCGCCCTACCCTAAGGATCACAGGAGGGTGCAGGTCGCCCCATCTGCACAAAAAAGCCAAATCCCATCTTGGTAGGATTTCCTCTGTGAAATAGGAATTCCCACAGTCCATCTGGTCCGCCTCTGATCACCTCAGTGGGAGGTAGGCTTATTGAGTTCAGAAACTCGCTGAGGTGGTGGAGTTTAACCTTCAGCAGGCATTTTAAGAGGCCATCTGTCCAAGGTTTAGATGTAGTTGCTGTCCTAGCAGTCTCACTTTTATTTTGTTAGAGTACTCACAAATTAGCTTACACTTTTAACCCCCTCCTGAGCAGTTTGATTTCAGCATTGGATACCAGTTTTTACTTTGACTGCTTTTTCTTGTTTCATGGGCATTTTTGAGGGGATCCTAACCCCCAAAAAGTAAAAATCCACAAAATACTTAAAACCCGTTTTAAAGGTTTCCTAAACCTTCCCCACACCTGCTTCATTGCCTCCCAGCCATCAGCCTGGTAGTGTGGCCATAGCTGCTTTTTCCATACGTGAGCATTTGTCCCCTCATCCGTTCCCCTCACTCTTCAGTAATCATTGAAATTGTAAACGTATAACAACATTCTGGAAAATCCTGCGAAATGGCAAAAGATCTCCGTTAAAGATAAGTTATGACCAATTTAAATGTCCATCATGTGTGATCTATCATTTTGATGGACAGAGAAAAAGTCCCAGAAATTTAAAGCTGGCTTTATGGGGGTGTCTATTAAACAGCAGGCTGATAGAAAGCCGTAAACATTCCCTTATAGTTCAGCCCCTATCTGCTCCACTGGCACAGTCTCAATTGGCAGGATACTAAATACCAAATTGCTGAATCTGTAAATGGAAAAGAAAAGCTGTAAAAAGCCCGTAGTAGAGTGCTAAGGTTAATAAATATAAGTGCCAAGCTTCATGTTGACCATCATTCCCATAAAGCCCTGTGGAAGACACACTGATGGAAGCTTTCCCCTTCTAGGGTCACTCACAGGGTTTCTGTGTCTGAACGGGCATCGCAGGTCATTCAGACATTTGTTTCTTGGCTCAATCCCCAAATGACCACATGTTGAGGTCTCCCTCAGCAAAACACTGACCCTCAAATTCCCCTTGAATAAGAGGAAAATGCTTTTGCTGCTGTTCTGTTGAGTTTAGCTGGGAGCCAAACAACTTTTCTGAATGACACCCTGACTATTTTGTTCCAGCAACCACTTGGAGAAGAGCCTTCAGCTGCTGATGGACAGGGTGGATGACATGAGCCAAGATATTGTCAAATATAACACCTACAGCCGCAACCTGAGCAAGCAGCAGCAGCAGAAGCACCAGGTAACTCCTCCATGCACGCCTGTAAGCACACTGGCTTTCAGGAACCAAAGCGCTGGCGCCACCTACACACGGAGCCAGCCGGGGCCCAGCGCGTATGCACACTCACACGCTTCATAAGTGGATGCTCCCACAGCCACATTCCCAGCTGGAAAAACAGCAGGTATATTGCAGGAGGATGCGGATACAACCAATTGCACCTATTCTCCCAGCAGTCAAGCGGCAGTGGCACCGGTTAACGCAAACACACCCACACAGAATCATGCTCCTCCAGGCTCCAATATTAAAGTGCTGAAATGAGGTTTTATAGAAGGGAACGGCTGTCAGTGTCGTCTTGTCTAAAGCCTGTTCAGAATGTGAAATTTCTGTTTATTTTTTTTACTTCAATGAATGAAATGTATTTTTTTTTCTCTCAGAGCTTTTCTTTTGCTTCGGATCCTCTTGTAACAAAGGGACTCTGTCCCTGAGAGAAAAAAAACACAAAAACACTGATGATGCATTAGTTTGAAATGGCATCCAATAGAGAAATCCAAAGAATATAAATGAAAGGATGAACGAAAGAAAGAAAAAAAAGAAAAGCGGGCGTACTTCTCAGACCAAGCGACTCCAGTCTTAACAACTTTGGAGAAATGTGAGGTCTTCTGGAACTTGTTGATAGAGGATCAAACAGTAGAAGCTGCTTTAAGCGAAAAATGCAAACGGGTCAAAGGGCAGCATCAGTGTGAGGTACTTTTCGGCTCAGATTCAGGTTTGGAACGACTTTGGCTCATCTTGATTTTACAGTGGATAGGTTAGAGGGACGCATATCTGCTCTAACGTTACAGTTACTAATGTACGCCTACACTCTCTGATTTCAGACACGTCTCCCCTTCATCTGCTGCAATGTTTTTCCCGTCAACGAAAAAGTCCTTAATCATCACTGTCAGAGCAGCCTCTGTGATAACGTTCATTATTTTATTTATATCTGAAGAAAATTTAGCGAGGAGGGTGAAACGCTTGGAGGTCACACACTGACTGCTAAGGAGAGTTCATACATATGGACTGACAGCTGGTATTTGCAGATCGTCCATTCTCACTCTTAACAAGTCGGTGTAGCTTTATCAAAACTTTGACTCCTTTTAAAAGCAAAGGCTTTTACACGTAGCACAACACAAATATACAGTGACAAGTGTAGCCAGAGTGCAAATACTCAAAGAGGCACACACCACCTACACACGCAGTCTGCCAGAAGAACCAAAAAGCCCGAACAAACATTGTCACACAGTTGGAGTGAACCACATACCATCTGCAGCCTCGACCAGATGCATCATAAAACATCCTGCAAGGGATGCAAGCGCCGTCACACAGTCACGCCCACACATTATTCAGGAAAAACGGAGGAGCTGCAGCACAGGGTGACTCACTTACGTGTCCACAAACACACACCAGTCTCAAAACGCCAACGTTATTCTGTCATTATTCTGCGCAAATGGAAAGGAGGGAATATTTGAGGTATTCATGTCTATCTGGGCTGAGTCACCGTACCCTCGCTCAGCGGGGGCTAAGGCCCCGGCCGGCCTTCTCCCACATCGGACATGATTTAGACCTGACCCGGCCCTCCATCCAAACACAAAGAGGAAAAAGACCTGTCTGTATTTTTCATCCCAGGGTCAGTCCCCACACCTTTAGAACCATCATCTTCCCTGCTCCGTCCTTCTCATCAACACAGCCTTTAAACCTCGAACAAACAGGACTACTCTGACTCTAATCCGGTATCACACAGAGCCCCTTTTTAATGGGGGCTTCAAAGAGTTCTACATCATGTACAAATAGCACACGGAGAAAAAGAAAGTGAGCCTATATTATACCTTTCAGACATCCGCTGAACGTGGCCCTTGTAATCATGTGCTGTTGACCCTGCCACTTCCAGGACAAATGGAACTTTATTAATCATCATAGAAGAGTTGCTCACAGGCGTTGTGCTGAGAGGATCCCATTTTCCTTCCATAGCCTTCTCATGTTGGTTCCCAAGCACAGTCTGCAGCCAAGTCGGTGTTTGTAACAAGAAATGCGCGTCTCATTCTGCCCTGATTCATTCACGTCTAACGAAGAGAGCAGCACTTTGATTACATTAGGTATGGTGCTACCTGTTAATCCGCTGAACTGAGAAGGAATCATTTATGCTTATCAAGGGAACCCAGAGACAGTTAAGAGTCAGCCACATTTCTCCTGATCCATGGAGTCATCTTTGCTTTGTAAGAAACAAATCAGTATAGCAAGATCAGGACAATATGTGGAAAAAGGTGACCATGGGGGTGGATGTGGGGGTCATCAGTTGGATCAGTGACATCTGGGTTAATGTGCCAAAAGGAGGGGGGGAGTCTGAGTGGGGGGCACGTCGGCTGCCTGAGCCGAGCTTGAAAAACAGAAGGCACAAAAAAAGGAAGAAAGAATTCTGGAAATAGAAAGTTTTGAGATGAGAGGGACTACGGATAATTAAAACGAATGGAAAATGTGGCCGACACAAGCAAGAGACGAGGACACCTCCCCCCCCCCCCAACACATGCAGCGTTTTGTTGCTCTTATCAGGTAACGTGCTACAAAAGAACTCCAAATATCAAAAGACTCTCATTAAGCCTTCCGGAGTTTATGAAAGTAAAACCAAAATGAATTAATTCAAACACCTGGGGCAAGAATAAAGTATTATGTAGCACAAGACTGGGATATAATAACCTTCACGTCTGTGTGATAATTGTCATTGATAGTGAACATTGGCTACTGTCTGCTGTAATTAACCGGCTGCACAATTAGAGGTCTTATGTAAGGCTCCGTTACCTTTCATATGAGAACTTCTTACATATATGTCATTAACATATTGCTGTAAGTTAATTTGGGCCTGGTCCAGCTCGGGTAATTGGTGGACTTTCTAAATAGCAGAGAAAGTGCGGTGCACCCCCAGCGTGAGGCCTTCAGTCTCTGGCTGCTCACCGTGGCGACGCCCCGCTGGGAAACCTGACAGAGGGCAAAAAAAATAAAGACAACAAACCACAGAGAGCTCTGGCTGCAGTCTGCACCAGACCGGCCGGAGCGAGAGTTTCTCATCAAGTCTGGAGCGTGAGGCAGAGGCTCCGGGGGAGCGGGGACCCGCGTCCCGCTCAGAGCGCGGGGAAGGCCAGCCTTATGCAGGCTGACAGAGATTAAGCGCTTCGTACGGCGTAATGGAGAAAGGAGCAGACAGTGGAGCCTCCGCTTTGCTGAGTGGACTCAAAGGCACCCATTCTGCATCTGTGCCGCGCTTATTGTGCAGCTTTCTTTTTCAACTTTGACATTAACTTCCACAGCGAGGTAGATCCACTTTTTAGGAACTGCGTGACAGTAGTAATTAGGATGTGAAGGTGCGGCAGGTGAGAAAGTTTCTGTTTTTGCCTCTGCACAGCGATGCCGTGTTAAACCGACTGCGTGGGGAAAAAAAGGACCCGTTTTTCCGTTTGGTGTTCCTTAACTCTGGGAAGTCATTCTGGTGCATGGGGGGGGGGGGTTGACTCTGGGGCGTTTGCTCTCCACCCGCTCCCCACCAGTTGCCGCAGACTTTCCTCCCAACAGAAGGTGTCAGCTGCTCCTCTATCTTACCAAATTAACAAGGCTTTTAGCATCTCCAGAGACCTGGCACCTCCCTGATTTACTGACTGTCAGCCCACCTCATTCCTGTTAGCGCTCATAACTCTTCTGTCTCCTCCATCTCTGCTTTCATCATTACCTCTCGCTTCCTTACTTTGTGTTCCCTACGTCTCACTAACGATATGCCTCCTGCTCCTTTGCCTCATCTTTTTCTTTACTCCTCACTTCATACCTGTCTCCTGAGCGTTTGTTTCTCCTACCTTTTTGTATCACATTCTCCCCCATCTACTCTGCCTCCATGTTCAGCTCGCCTCACACCATTTCTTTCAGTTTTCCTCCCTTCCTGCCTACTAAAGTTTTTCTGGGCCTCTTCCTTTAGTACGTCCAGAGGCGGCAGCAGGAAAACGTCCAGCGACAGAGCAGAGGGGAGCCCCCCCTGCCCGAGGAGGACATCACCAAAATGTTCAAGCCCCCTCAGCCACCACCACGCATGGACACACTGCTCATTGCAGGTATGCACACACATCCACAACCCTCACACTTCCAGCTTTTGTCAAACGCCAGAGAACCATTCCCCCCCAACCGCCTCACATTCCATCAGCCGCCTCTGCTCTCCTCACGGGAGCTCAGGGTCTATTTTGCAATTATCTACGCCATTATCGTGAAATTACATTAATTCAAAGTTTATAGACGTGAAGTTCAACTTGACCGCCCCTTTTCCCTGCTGTTTCACACTGTTCAGCCCCCCCCCCCGCCCTCTGACAACAGCCTGATCCCTCTATTTACTCTGCTCAGCGCTAATTCCATATTTTGCTTTGCTGTTGTTTCCCACCCCACCTCCGCCTGTTTGTCTGTACAAATGCACCTTCACGTGTGTGTATACACACATTGTGGACATGTTTGTGTGTGTCGGGATGTGTTTCTTTCCTCTCTGTGTGGGTGCGTGTGAATGGTTGTGGCTTCCCTCCAACAGGGCAAATTAACAACTACTGCCAGAATGTGAAGGAGTTCACCTCTCAGAACCTTGGGAAGCTGTTCATGGCAGAGGCTCTGCAAGGCCACAACTAGCAGTGAGACAGAAGAGCCCGTCTGCGCTGGAAAAAACCCACAGGCGGGGATGCATAACAACCCTGACACCAGTGGCAGGAAGATCCACCGTCGTTTGTCAGCAAAGATTTCATTCATGGCTCGTATGCTCAAATCCACATTTGATAAAATGAGATTTGCTGATTTGTATTGATCCAAATAAAAGTTCTGAATCTCTTATCTTTTTTTAGTTTTCTTTTAAAGTGTGACTGCTTGACATGGTAAGTGCAGCTGATTGTACTGTGGGGCTGGGGATACCTTTGTGTTTAGTTGTTTGTCAGTGGCAGGTCCTGTGTGCACTGCTGAAAACACAAAGTCGTACAAACAACACGATTTTATATCTGTGCTTTGGGTCTTGCCGTTCAAATGGTAAGAAGGTTGAATCAGCGAGTTGTGGATATCCTGTGTTTGTGAGAACGTGGACTTTCTTATAAACAGCTGGAGCAGAGGTACTGAAACTGAAACTCTTTCTCTGAGTGTAACAGTCAGGGAGCTGTCAGTGGTCCTGTTCCTTCTGCTGCCTTCCATTAGTGGGATCATCATTTGTGTTCCTGGTCATTTGTGTCGTTACATTAAACCCACTGCTTTGCAGAAGCTTTGGAAATGTAGGAATTCCAATGACATTTTCAAAGCCATTGGAATACTTGATAGCTGCTCCACGTCTGACAAAGGGTGGTGGGATTTTCCTGATTATTCCACTGTCACAGAGACACCTGGTGCAGTGGGTACACCCTGCCAGTGTCAGTCTATTATCTGGTCAGACGAAAGGCAGGCCGTGACAAAGCTACATCAGCTGAAACTATTGAATTGGAACAAAGGGGGGGGAAATCCACCTCGGAGCTGCATTCAGAATTACAGAGAGGACATTCAGGTTGTCGTGAACTCTTCTGACTTGAGGAAAATGTCACTAAGCAAACCCATCTCTGCAAAGACTCTTTGTGAGTCTGTGCAGCATCCAGGCCGTGAAGTTTCCTTTAGCAACTCGCACAAATCCCTCCAGAGCATGACTGCATGAACTAAATACCTTACGTTTAAGAGTAAGCTGTTCTTACACTGATCCTCTCCAGGGTTTTTCCCATATGTGAGAATTACTTCTCAAAGGCATAAACGCCTCTCATTTGTGGAGCTCATCACTGCTGTCCACCCCCCCCCCACACCCAACAGGGAACCAAACGCCTGCTCTTCATGCTTTCTTTAATAAAGATCTGCCGTTCATCATCTGATAATTACATTGCGGCACCAGATTGCTGGCTGTTTTGTTGTTGTGCTTTCTGGACCTGTAGTTGAACGGCATCCTCTAAATTCAGAGGATGATGTGATTTAACTTGTCATCAGCCTGGCCTGGACATGTAATAATTTGTGGTGCTCCTGCTTGTCATCAGCACAATGTCATTAACAATAATTACAAGTCAACCAACATGATAAACACTTATTAGAACGGTGACACTCAAGCTGGAAATAATTTTTTCTTGAAAGCATGACTCCCTGACAAGCTGGCTTGATGCTGAATATTGATCAGTGACAGAGGGCTCGGCTTATACCCGTTAATTAGAATATTTGCTACTTTGACATGCACACCTGCCTTCGTGATTCATTTGTTCATATATAATTGTATACACACACACACATATATCATTATTATTATTATTATTTTGTCACAGTAGAGTTGTTTGTTTGTATTTCTGAATCTGAAAACCATAGGCTCACATTGGCCTCCAAAGACTGGGGCAAAGCTTCTTCTGTCCATATTCTGGGAATGTGTTGGGATTCCCAATCCTTCCATTTCCCGCCAACAGAACCACAGGCGCCGTGTGCGGCTGCAAAACGGGACTCAGCCTCGCTGCGTAAGGGTGACAAAGTCTCAAACGGTATTCAAAGTGACAGTGTTTTGATTGGAGTCGCAAGCCGGAGTGAATCATCCAGTCACTCCAGGGCTCAAGGGCAATAGAGTGCTACTACTACAGCCCTCCGTATGAATAGAAATGATGGCATTAGCTCCGACCGCTGGTCAGCGCCGATGTCGAGAATGAAATATTTAGCTTTTACAAGTTTAGTTGGGACATAACTGTAAAGGGACACTTCAGAGGTAAAGTTATGTGCACAGCTTTTGGAATCGAACTTCAGATTCAGAGACATTGTCCCGGCTCGCTCCTACCCCCGCTTACACTGAATGGAAAAAGCTTCTTAAACAGCATTGATAATGGCTGCTTGGGCAGAATATTCAATTCCCAAATGGGAATCACAGTTCTATGCAGGATATTTTATGAATTCATGCAAGAGTCATAGAGTTTTAAAGCTTGACCTCTGCAAAGTAGTATTCTTGAGCAAAAGTCCACCGACAAGATGTTTCCTGGAGCTTTCAGCCGTATCCCATAACCCTTAGTGCTTTATTAACTGCTTAGCTGCAGGCAAAGTCAATCCACTGATGCGAGGTGAATGTATTTAGAGGTGAATTACTTAACTATTTCATGACTCTGTGTGTGTCTGTTTGTCTGTCGGGAAGTGATCCACGTTATGTGGGGTTGTGGTCACTAGGTAGAGTGATTGTCTGCCGAGTCGTCCTTGGGCAAAACGCTGAGACACTACATTGCCACCGATGCGTTCAGTCTGTTAGTGCCTGTATACTGGAGCAAGACCTGTGAAGACCAAAGAGTAAGTGTTTTAAAACGTGAGAAGTAAAAATTAAATGCAGTTCCTGGGGAAGTGTTGACCACAATTATTAGGATTCATGATGGCCTTGGTGGTGATTCCCGTGTCCTATAACAACCCATTGAAAACGGGACTACTTTAGGTTCTGGAGCCAGACATCAAAGACTTTGTGTTAAGAACTTGACCTGGGTTGGCATTCGATATTCAAACTACTGTGAGAAATTTCAGATCCAAGAGAAGAATAATTAATTTCAGATATAACAAAAAACAAAAAAACATTTTGTAACAAATGTATATCATATGATTAAAAATAATATTAAATTACAGATGGTACATTTCATTCAACAGGATTAAAAGAGCTAGTAAAAGACATGGTTGAGTGTTGAGTTTAGCCATGAAATCATAGGTTTGATAAACAGAACTAGTATTTGAAACTGCTAATTCAGTCCATGACCTCGACACAGATCTATATCCTGACGTCTGCTCTCTGATGTGTTTTCTTTGTTTTCTCTTTTGACTGTGTATGATGATTGACCGGAAAGTTGTGCACACCAACCTATGCCAATCAAAGTAACGTTGTGGACAAGGGGTCCTGTGAGTCAGTGAGATGCTGATTGATTTGACATTTTCTGTCCTGTGAGGCGTGGCCTGATGCACTGGGTCAGTCATTTATTGGTTGTTTTGTCTTCTGGAAATGTTCAATATCTAAAAAAAAACCCATACATTTTCAGGACCCTACACAAAAAGTTTTAAAAGTAAATAGGGTGGTTAGATGTGTGCAAAGGTGAGCTGAGAAGCCTGAGTTTGTCAGCAGGAATATCCACGATTAAAGTTTCAAGTGACACCACACATGTCATTAAAAATCCATGACATTCTTGATAAGTAGAGTAAAACTAACTACAGGTATATGTGCATAATAACAGCTATGAACCCTGTTTTCTAAGGTTTTCATGTTAAAATTTTTTAATTGAAATTATTTACTTTGTCTCAAATCAGAGTAACTGCAGGTTAAAAAAATGTACGAAGACCAGAATTATTAGAATAATACCGTCCTCCACTATTATTAAAGGATGCATGCCCCATTAAAAGTCATCAGTGGATTCTACTGCCCAAAAGCATTTACATATATATGACAGCAGTGGAGGCTTAAGATATTGTTGAGACCACTGTCAGAGCAATTTGATAAACCTTTCAAAGACGGAAAAAGTTGACAGCTATCAAAATACCGCTGGGACCATGTCTCTTCCATCAGAGTGCAGAAAGACAGAAAGCTCCAAGGCGAGGCTTGATACTGATATCTTACCATCGTTCCTCTTCTTCACGGTAAGTAGAAATACAAGTGATGATAAATCATGGATGCAAGAATGCTGTGTTTTGTGTTTCATCATTATCGTTATGTAAAGTAAATGTTGTCTTGAGAAATCCCGCAGTCATAACGATAGGCTGCTGCTCATTAAATGCTGAAATTGCACATTAGGCAGAAAATGACTCTCAAAAAGTCTAAAATGGCCGGTGACATACTGCCAAGCTGTCTTTGGTGCAATTTTCTCTTTGGCAGGATATTATCAGACTGACACTAAGTCAGAGAAAATATTCCAATACAAATGAGTCCACAAACGCGTGGAGTGTTGAGATTATATTCATGACATTTCCCTCACTGGAACTGTTGTAGTTTATGGTTCAAAGAGACACCCTTAGTCTGGCTCACCATATTGCATTAGTGGAAAGTTGTTCTTTGTCTTCACAGATGCAAAACTCATCACTAAAGCTCATTAGTTTAGACTATTATAAACGTGTCTTTATTTGACAGAATGCTGCTGCCATGTGAGATTAACAAATGTGGATTTGAGAAGCTTTGCCCATTAATGATGGATCAGTGGCAGGTCTGGAGGCTCTATATGGTGGCACGCATCAGACATCCACACACCTGTGTATATCTGTGGAATACTAGAAATGAAATTTCCACTATAATAACCAAACGAAAAGTGGAGTTATCGTTGTTATTTTTCTCTCTGGTGGCTTTCTCACCCTCATGTCTGTGTGTGACTGTCTCATGGTGGATTATTTTAAGCACAAATGTCAAGCATGGATAAAGAAGTTGGTGTCTTACTTGCAGAAAGCAAAACTTCTCAGTACGCTCTAGCCCTGGAGAAACAGAAACAGCATTGATGGGCAGCTAAGCGAACAACAACTGTTGAGCAAGTTTTCAGCACCTAAAACGAGTCAAGCCCTATAAATATGTAATGACTGAAGCTATTATCTCAACCAGAAAATATCTGTGTTGCATTAGCAGCGTGTGGCTGCCTTTTAGCATGAACGACCAACTACAACCA